GGCCTCTGGAATCATAGGCAGATACAGAGCAACGGTGTCGCCCTTCCTTACGCCCATCTCCTTGAGTGTGTAGGCCAGCTTCGAGACCTGGCGGAGGAGTTCTCCGTATGTGATGATGCGGCCATCGCCCGCGTCGTCGGCCTCGTAGATGATGGCAGGCTTGTTGGGGTCCTTGAAGGCATGGCGGTCGACGCAGTTGTAGCTGGCATTCAGTCTGCCTTCCGCGAACCACGCGACATCGCCGTGTTCGAAGCTACCCGAGGACACGGTCTGGAAATCGCGCTCCCACGTGAGCAGCTCGCGCGCGAGTCGGCCCCAGAAAGCTTTCGGGTCTGTGATGGACTCCTTGTACAGCTTCTGGTACTCTTCGAGGTTCTCGAGATGCGGTTTCGAGTGCGGGTGCTTGCTGTGCGCGCGTTAGCTGCGTGCCGGGCTCTCGTCTGGGTGCGATCGCGATCTGGTGGTCGGCCAAACGCTCGGCGGCGCGGGGTCACCCCGCCCACCCGCGAGCTCTGGAGCTTGGATGACGCCGCAGCTGTCATTGTCTTGGTGTATGATGCAATGACCAAACAAACAGAGAGACTCACTCGTAAAACGCCTTGGGAACGTGGAATGTGTCCACCTGGTGGGCTTCGGCCACGACGGGCGGCTTGACGTCTCCTTCAGACATGTCTGGGCTGGTCGATGTGGATTATTTAGCCTGGCTGGCGGGGCAAAGGAGCTCGGCTTCGGCGCGCTGCAATTTCGCGACGAGGACAGTTCAGCAGCTTCACCAGCGTAGGAGCGTAGTCTGGCAGGACGCAGGTCAGAGACGGACGGATTGTCCAGAACAGTTATATGTCTCAATTCCGGGTAAAGGGGTCGGCGGTACGCTTGATTGCCGCAGGGGCCGGAGTGAAGTTGGTGAATGTTCGGGAAACAGCTGCTTAAGTGGAGCTTCGCGTGGCTGTTCAAGGTTCGAGATTGAGTCGACGCGGTTGGGAGAGGGAGTTTGTAATGCAGAGCACGAGATGGGCGAACGGCACTCTTATGAGCTGCGACTCTAGCAGGGCGTTGGTGATGTAGCCTTACCCCTCGCGTGCCTTCGCTGCGGGGACTGGAATATGACGAACAGCTTATTGCTGGCTTCTGTCTGGGCCCACACGTATTCCGTGGGCGGCACCATGATCCAATACGGATAGCATCCTGTGATGCCCTCCGTTTCTCCGGATCACTAGCACACCACGCCAGTCAGACTGTACTGCTGTGCCGATCCGCCGTCAATCTGCTTGACTGCCAATAATTGGCGACATCCAATTTGCCCTGCTTCACATGCTGTGAACGCGCGCAGCGACATGTTGGCTCATCAGGGCGGGCACTTATTTACCATCACCATGTACCTAGATATCCATGCTCGACCCTGAGGAAAACAGCTTCGGCAGGCAGCCGGCCCGCAACTTCGCGACCGCACAATATGTCCCGGCCGTACGCAATAGCCCGAATTCAGGCGGCGCAGTCGGCCTATAATGACTTGCAAAACTGTCATCACCTGGGCAGTGTCGAAGAGCAGGAGCTCCTCCGTAAGCTACAAGCTCGGCTACAAAGGTGCCGAACCCTCCTACAAAGCTCTTGGTATGACACCACACAAGCCCCAAGCACACCATTGTGACCAGACTGTCAAGAGTACAAGTTCTACATATCTGGCAGGTTGTGGAGCTGATCGCATGTTCCTTTGCAAAGAATGGGCCTGACCACGCGATGCCTGCAAGCATCAGCTTTCGGGCGTGGGGAAGAGGGACGCAGGACCCATCCGAGGCACCGGCAATTGTTACCGTTGGGCTGGTCGCCATATCTGTTCCCGCTTGTCTGTGCTAGCTGTCCTTTACTGTGGACACTTCGCATGGCGTGCTGGATTACTTACAAGAGCTAGCTGTTGTGGGTGTGTTTTGTGTGCAGTTCGCGCTAAGCTTTCACCGTGCGAGAGGGTTAGGTAACATGTTCCGTCTCGGTTGACAGCCATGCGAACGCCTTTGCGCGCGTGTCTTCGTGCACATGCTCGGATGTGTATTACAGTTTACGGTAGCGTCTAACGTGCGATCAATACAGTGATCGCGATGCGACCATCCATACACATCTTGGCATTCAAACAGCCGTCGTCATAGCTACCGGCATGCCGTATTGGCTGATGTTGGCAGGTCTGGGCACGCTGAAGCAAACGCCGACCAATAGAGACTTACAGAGACGTATTGGTTGGAGCATTATCGATGCGGGGCCCCGCAGGAGAGCAATAGCTAAATCAAATATCTCCAGGGCTCGATCAGTTTACTGTGCCGCCTCATATGAGCCAACCCAATAATTGCGCGTTGGGATTAAGGAACGGCCTGCATGCCCGGAGATTCATCTCAACTCTGGCCAGAACGGAAGCCGTAGCAGCCGTGTCTCGCGTCAATTGTGACTTCGCAGCTCAATGGCGAAAAGATGGGAATATCTTCATCCAGTCTACATAGCAACAACAGTCCCATCCACTACATGCACCACCACATCCCCATCCCCACCCCCATCTCTACTATCATTCTTCCATTTCCTCTTCACCAACTCGGGATTAATCACAATCCCCCTCTCCCCAACCCCCTCCCACTCAAACTCATACGTATCCAACTGCCCAAACAACCATATCCTCACCGTCAGCGTATCCGTGATAATCCGCGCAAGATCATCATCTCGATCCTGATCGCTAGACGTAGGATTCGCCCAAGGAAAAAAGGTAAGCGAGAAGTGTTCGGCTGCTTCGCGTGTCACAGACTGTGCCATCCAGGATTTGCGCCGGTTCGGGTACCCGGTTATGGTGCTGTAGAGGTAGACGGAGACGCGGCGGTGGAGAGAGGTGGCGGCTATGAAGTCGGGATCTAGGATGGGGTGTGAGCTTAATGCCTTCCGTGGATCGAGGGGTAGGGATGGAGGTTTACCTGATCCAACGTCGGCGCCATTGGCGACATGCGCCAGCTCTTCTGGAAATAATGTGCCTTCCCTGTCTCCTTTTTGCTTTGGCCCTGTTATACCCAGTACGTATGCTACGAGCGCATGCTTGAGCGCCGCAGTTGGACTTGAGCATTCTTGCAGGAGTTCCCCCATGTCCACGTCTTTAATGCCGAACTTGGCGATTGAAGGTTCCATACTCGGAGTGATACAGGCATGTACATCGCGGTAGAACTTCTCGACATGCTCATGCATCATGCTGAACAAGTGTGACACGCCATTCCATACTTCATCGTCGTCTGCTGCAGGGGGTAAGAACGAGGTAACATCCTTGGACGATTCGTTCGCTACGGCTGCGGGCGTTATCATCGGAGGAGATAATGCAGCAGTGGGCGTCGGTGGCATAGGTGTTTGTGATACCTGCACATATGGGCTATGCCGCCCTCCTAGACTGCCGACACCTTTGTGTTGCATCATTCCCAGATCGGGCGCAGAGTCGGCATAGCTTGGGTAATCTTTCGTACTGACGTTTGCATTCTTGTGTTTATTCCGCTGCCTGAAGAGGAAGAATGCGGCGGCAAATGCGATTGCTGCGCCAATGATGAATGTTCCGATGGCAATACCCGTTACTGCACCGGCGCTCAGTCCCTTCGTCTCATCGCCGTCTGTTACTCCTGCCAGGGTTGCGACCGTTGCCTGACTTGGATCTTCCGTCGTTACGGATGTTAGTTGGCTGGGTGAGACAGTCTGGCTTTGCGACGTTGATATTGATGTTCTTATGATTGAGGGTGTTTGCGATCCGAAGCTCGTGAAGGTGGGCTGGGTGCTAGGTTCGGCAAGTTGTGTGATGCTAGAGCCAAAGCCATCAAAGGTAGGTGATGGTTGTATGTCCGAAATGCCATCGGATGGAGAAACCCCCCATCCACCCGGCGTCCTTGTCAGAGCGAAACCAATTCCCTCCGTTTGTGCGGTACTTGTCCCGTCCGTCTCTGAGGTACTCGCGCCAAATTTCTCACATCCTGGAAACCAAGGAGTACATCGCGGTAAATCGTCGTCAAACGCGGTGGTCGTGAAACTCCGGATAAAAGGTAGCATCTTTACAGTACCCAGGTATATCAAGCCAAACCCAAGGCTGAACCTCAACCACGAAATCGGCAGGCAGAAGGCGAAAAAGAGGAAAACGAGAGAAAGAGAAGATCCGAAATCGAAACAAACCTCTCCAGCCTCAAGGGCCACCTATGAACAAAGACAACCCCATCGTATAAGCCGATCAGGCTTCCAGCTCAGCCGCAGCATCCTACAAGGCACGCCGCACTCCGCCTCACGCACTGCAGCAACCCAAACCCCGAAAAATCCTTCCAACTCCCAGACACACGCTTTGTTGCTTACCGTCGTACGGGCAATCAAGCCAGACGCCTTGTCAAGATTGTGCAGCTTCCCACTATTGGGACGGCGTAACGTGGGGCGCAAGGGTAGGAGTAAGCAAACCAGTCCCAGTATGAGTGCGCGGATACGGCGATCCATTTGTTGCGCTAGGGCGGCGGCTGTTTTGTTGTTTGGGGGCCTGGGGATGCATGTGTGGATAAGGGCGGCTGTGCGCAGCCTTGTTCTTGTTTGCACAGCCTAGGTAAGGGTTGTCCGCGTTGTGCAGGGTAAGGTGGGTTTTAGATTTTGGGCGTCTCACTTGTTGGTGGTTGTTTGAGCGGCGGGCGGGGAGATGTCACGGCACGTGGTGGTTAAATGGGGAAAGAGCTGGAGGGAGGTTTGCACATGCCATTTCTCAAATCCAGGTTGCCGGCGGGCAAGGGCAGGGTCTATGTGTTCTAGCGTCCACCACCACCACTTCTTCAAACCTTGTTTCTGGTTTCTTTGGTGAACTTCCCTCGAGTTCGCTTGTCGATATGGGTATTTTGGCACCTTCGGTACCTTCAAGTTCCTGTGCGGGTTCTCGGCATGGAAGTTCTGCTGTGCTGTACGACCCTTTGTGGGCCAGCATCTCCACAATCTGATGGTGAGCGGAGACTTCAGCTGCGCTTTCATCGGAGCTATACCCCCGCGCTCTTTGTTTGCGTCGCCTGATACATACAAAGGCGATGATCAGGGCTACTAATACCGCCAAAGCCACGATGCCGGCTGCGATTCCTCCCTTTGCGCCGTTGGAAAGACTCTTTGAGTTGGTGGAAGCTGCGTTTGTGTTGGTGGAGGTATTTGACGGCGTCGAGGTTGGGGAAGTCGAGGAAGCTGTCAATGTCGATTGTCAGCGACTATTTTGTTGCTCGAAGATGATGAAAACATACCCATCACCTTCTCCAATCTCCCGTTCTTCAGGAAGCACCCTCGCAGCCCAAGTGTCTCACAATCTTGATCCAACCCCTCCACCAGATCCGGCGCCAACATCGCCGCATCGATCACAAACCCTGGATACACAGCCGTCGCCGCATCGAACGTAGCGTTCATGAGCCAACAATTTTCGAATTCTGTTGCGCCGAGAGGTCGAAAATCGAAGCCGTAGCACAGCGGCTCTTTCTTGACGCAGCGGCCCATGCAATCGGACCAAGTTTCTTCGAAGGTGGGATCGAGGAAGTCGACTTTGGCGCCGATATCTTTGCCGCAGAGGTTTTGGAAGGGTACGGTGAGGTTGAAGTCGTGGTAGGTGGTGGTGTTGCCTTCGCATCTGTCGCTGTCTGATTGTGCGGTGGTGTGTGTGATGATTGTGAGAAGGCATGCGAGCCAGACGTATGAAGGCATTATGGGCAGCACAATAATGAGTCGTCCCCTACTTAGCAGACGGTAAACAGAGATCGGGAAGATACAAGAAAGGCCGGATTTACTGAGCACCTTCGGTAGCTAAAATACATCTTCTCCGTCTTCTCCCACAGCCTGGTAACGAGCATCGGCCCCCTCAACAGATGCAGCGGACATGCCGCAGACGATCCTCTCGACGTCAAGATCTGTACTTTACCCAATGATACTCGCACCGTGCATCTTCTCCTCCAGCCACATGTTCTTGGCAAAGCACGAGGCGTTCTCAGCCTTGTGCGAACCTCAGGAGCTATGCTGAGAAACTGGGTCCGTTGTAAGGGTGGAGTGTATAAATAGTCTGAATGAACGGGAGAGAAGACGATCTTGTATTTTACTGCGCCCTTGAACAGGAATGCTGCGCAAAAGATTGAACTTAGTGAGTAGCTAGCCTCGTCCGTCAGAGTGAGCGATATGTATGCCAAGAATATGGCGGTTCATGTGCATTGCGGGACGGCCTGCCGTAATCGTTGTTCATAGAAAAGATCAGCTTCAATGTTGATCAAATTTGCAAGTGTCGACTGGCTTGACGTTGTCAAGTAACCGCCATTGCTCTCCACCTTCCCTCAATAAGAAAACGGCCTAATAGCATACGTCTCCTTCTCCTCCGGCAGTGGCGAAACAGGCTTCTCCATAAATTCGGGGTACAAATACCACGCCAAGTGTTTGCCCTCCGTCTGCGCACTAGTCCACCCATTGCCCAACCAAGCCAACCTGTTGCTCGTCTTCCCCACACCATGTAGCTCTGTACCGTCACTCTGTCCCTCGAGCTCATCCAAATAAATATAGTCGAAGTCTTCCCACCTCGGACTCCTCATCGTCTCAACACAATGCAACGTACTTCCTGGCCAGAGCCCAACGACCTCGCCCGTCCCCTTGTTCTTGTACCAACTTCGGCATTCGTCGGCGAAGACAGTGCCCTGGAAGTAGGCGTCGACGTATTCGATGAAGTCCTTCTCGCGCGCTTCCTTGACAACCATGGCTGCGATGTTTTCTTTTTGGATCTTGCGGATTGCTTTGATGATGTAGTCGCCTAGGGTCTCGATCATGCACGTCAGGCTGCCGGAGCCGATTGCGGCGTTGGGACCGAGCATGGTGAAGAGATTGGGGAAGCCAGATACGGAGTGTGAGAGGTAGTTTACGGCGCGGTCCTCCCACCTTTTAGCAAGTGGCAGGCCGTTGCTGCCGGTTAGGGGGAACGGAGGTGGGGCTGAGGCTTTGAAGCCCGTGGCACACACGAGAACGTCGATTTCGTGCGTTTTTCCGTCGGCTGTGTGGATTGCGGATTCGGAGATGTGTGTTATGGGCGATGTGACGAAGTCGACATTGGGTTGCGTCAAGGCTTCGAGATAGCCTGGACCAGGCGTCAACCGACGGCACCCTGGGGAGAAGGAGGGTAAGAGTGCTTCGAAGATCTCAGGCTTGCTCTTCAGCCTCTCTTTCATGTGCTGATGGAACATATCCTTTGCGCCCTTTTGTAACTCAGTCCCTTTCATGGTAACAGCATGGATGCTGTTTCCATCTTCCTCGACTGAAAGCCTGAACTTGTGGTAATATTCTGGATCGTTCGCGAAACGATCGCGAAGCTCTGGGGGAATCGTCGAACCATTGAAACCGTACTTGTCCCATAGCTGTTGGCCGAAGGGAGGCGAGATCCACGTCTTACTACGCACAAAGGTACTAATATGAGTACCTGGTAGACGCTGCAGCGACGGGACAATCTGGATGGAGGAGGAACCAGAACCGATGACGCCTACTCGCTTGTTGTTGAAGTCGTAGGCTTGATTCCAGACTGCCGAATGCATGACCTCGCCTTTGAACGTCTCAAAGCCCTTTATCTCAGGCCAAGATGGTGTGTTCAAACCACCCCTCCCTGAAACAAGTACGTCGGCCTTGTCCTGTAGCACATCTCCTGTGTCGAGATTCTTCACTGTGATGTTCCACTTCGCAGTCTTGCCATCCCAGTGGCATGCCTGAATCTCATGGCGTAGCTTGATGAAGCGATCCGCGGAGTACTTGTGCGCTACGTCTTGGAGGTAAGATTGAATCTCCGCAGACGGGGCATAGAGCGACGACCAGTTCGGGTTCGGTTGGAACGTATACTGGTATGAGTGAGCTGTAGATTATTAGCCGTGGTTGTACTCGTAAGTTCAAGCTTGCTTACATGGTATGTCGCATGCGCAACCGGGATATCTGCGATCAAGTCAGTGAATGCACTGCGAAACAGTAAGAAGACCTTGGTTAGTCACAGAAGAAATGCTTACCTGTTCTCGTACCAAGTCCCTCCAACGCCGCCATTCTTCTCATAGATGACAAGATCGACATTTCTCAATCTCTCTGGAATGCGAATGCCGCAATAGATGCCCGAGTATCCAGCACCGATAACAACAACTCTCAGACGTCGCAAGTTTTCCACAGGCGCATCGTTGAGCTTGAAAGGCGGCTTCGCTGAAAGCCCATTGGCATCCTCGTTAATGGAAATGCCAGGCGCGTCGATAGGAAGGTTAGGTACTGCCGACATCGTCAAGAAAGAACGAGTTACACAATAGGAGTAATTGCGCGACGTGTATCCAAATTAAATGGTTTATTCAGAGGCTAGACTGGCCAGCGTAGGTGGTAGTATAGAGTATGACAGAAACGATCCAGATGATGTTGGCCGCAAAATGGCGACAGAGAACCGTTATAAGTACGGCCACCTACACCCCTCACCATCGTCAGGGTTGGCCGTATGATACAAGTGCCGAAGCAGTAGGCGGAGCGTTAGCGAGACGTCGAGTTACCAGTCGGATTCAGCAGACGGCCTGGGGTTCCACCGCTAGGCTTAGCCTATCAGAGCGCGACAGCCTCCGCATCTGTGTCGGCCGAGGCGCCACCCCGGACCTCCACATGCGTCCCGCTGCATCCCGCAACGCGCTCTTAGTGACTTCGCGGAATGTCCCCGTGAAGACTTGCGCGTTCGGCTCTGGATAGTTTTCTATCCGTCCTGTGCAATACAGCTGAGAAACCCCTGCGATGAGCGGCGCGATAGTTGTGCCGCAGAGCTGCAATTGAGTTTGTTCCATAGACGATCCCCGGTACTACCTCGGAACCGTGACGATAGCAATCTGTAGTAGTGTAAGCAATTGGAAATCTTCTCTTCGCATTTTGCATACCTGATTTCCAAGAGCGATAGATAACCTAGAACTATCTGGCTCCCAACCAAGACTGTACTCTCCGTCTATGGCCGGGTTCCATTTGTCGCTGGGAGTTTCACTGGCGCGCCACGAGGCAATTGGTACATCTCTCTTTTCTACATCCCAAACAGTGACGGCATCGGGGCCTGCAGCAGCTAAGAGCGACCCGTCTGGAGAGAAAGCAATCTTAAAGGCCTGCGTACCATCCGTGGTAGGTAGATATTTGACGCATTTGAAAGGTTCGTTTGCGTCCCAGATGCGTGTTGCACCCGCCATGGAGCTCGTTGCAAGCAAGACAGAGGGTAGCGAAGAGCCATTCGTGAGATGGCTAGTCTTTGATTTTACGCGGAAGCTGAGATCGGTGGGGTACTCATCGGGATATTCGTGCACCTGTAGTTGTATTGAGTCGTTGGGGTGGAGGATGCCAAGATAGTACTTTCTGTCTTCGATACCCAGCACGGCGATGATCCTAGACGCGGCGTCATATTTGACTGTCTCCCATGTTACTGAAGTATCGAGGGTTTGCTGGGTAGTCAAGGAGTCGTTGACTTGGTAGATCTTGAAAAGTTTGATACCACAAACGACAAATGCAGAGTCGCTTATCCAGTGGGCGTCGAATATGGCCGTGTCGGTGAATTCGGTCCATGCGGGTATAGAGTCGCTATCGTTCTTCCACACCTTGATGGAGCCCTTTTCGCCGTCTGTTGATATCGAGAGCAGCAGGTTTCGTTCGGGGTTCCAGCGAAGCGTGTTGATGAGGCCGGCAGTGGAGGAGATGACCTGCGAGGCCTGGCCGCCTTCGGTCAGCTTGATGAGCTTGTCCATCATCATCTTCTCGCCGACTTCGTTGGATCGCTGTTCTCGCACAGAGACGGTGAGTTCGTTGTCGGAATGCCAGCATAGCGCGGTGACGTCGAAGTTGTCGACGGGTAAGGGTATGTCGAAATGCTGGGTGGGGGGTTCGTGGCCAGGGTCTTTGCTCACAACGTGAACTTGGAGGAGGGATTTGCCGGCTGCGAGCAGTACAGGGGAGTCTATGGGCCCCCATAGTGTGTGCTCGATAAGGCAGGCAGGGTCTGAGGGGGGAGGGATGGAGACGATGCCGGGAGTGAGATCAGCCACAGCGATGGCCTCGGTCTGGATCTCAGCGTCCTGGCCGATGCTGAGGGTGGATATGGGGATATCAGCAAGCGAGGGCGACTCGGCTTCCGAGACCATGGGCTCCGACTCAGCCCGCACGCTGTTGGTCACATGGGTGGTGCCGTTGTGCTCGATGTCCATGGCATCGCCGTTGACCTGGGGCTCGGGGCGCGGCTCGACGCCATTCGTGGGCTTCGTCTTCTTGCGCTTGAGCGTCTTCTTGGGCGGGGGTTCTTGGACAGCGCCGTTGGCCTCGGCGGCGAGTTCGTGTGCGGGAATGCCCTTGTCGAGGGTCAAGAGGTTGCCATTGCGCGCCGAATAGGGTCGTCCGTGGTCGCTGCCGAACTTGTAGCGCGGCTCCGTCTGCACTCGTCAGTACCAGCTTCCCGCGCGCGTGGATGCGACGTACATTGCAAGCCTCGGCCTGCAGCTGGTCGAAGCACAGCCCGTCCTGGACGAGCCTGATGAGGGCGTGCTGCTCGATGTTCTTCGCAAAGGGCAGCGTGTCGGGGTCGCGGATCCAGCATCGCGAGAGTTGCAGGGCGGCATTACCGAATCCGGCCTCCTGAAGATATCGCCATACTGCACCTAGACGTCAGTCATGCAGGCCAACAGAGGCGTGGGCTGGGGACGTGTACCGAGATAGTTCATCGCGTTGCTGCTGAGAGTCTCCGCCATGGCGCATCCTGTACGCGCTGCATGCGCCGGGGAGCTGAGTGCGTAGGGTCGGTGATAGACGGGGCGTGCTGGGTGCGCGATTCGTGGTGGGTGTCGTCGTCGAGCTGGTAGGAGGATCGAAGGCTACCTGCAACTACTCAGCACTCTGGCGGCCGCTAGTCCCCACAGGATCTCCGTCCGAGCGTCGTTCATGATCCCTGCCGTCGACACATGCAGACGCTCCCACGCCTGCATGCTCAATTCACCAAAGACACCTCCACCGCCCGTCTGGACCTGCCCGGGCCGATACGTGAAGGACGCCCGCCTGCCTCACCTCCCGCCTCCAGACGCCGCATTCTCCCCACCATGGCGCGCATCAACCTGCCCCCGCTCACTCGCGGCGTGCTGGCGGCCGTCGTATTCTTTACGCTGGTAAATTTCGCACTGCGACCCAACGCCAACCTGGTGGAAAAGATCGAGAAGCCAATCATCGGCGTGGGAAACGGCGTCCCGTGGCTCACCATCGTCCCCCGCTATTCGGTGCCGTGGTATCCCTGGGTCTTCGCGCTGGCGACGGTGGTGGAGCAGAACCTCCTCGGCCTCATCACCACCGGACTCACCGTCTTCTATGGCGGACGCTACCTGGAAAGAGCGTGGGGGTCTCACGAGTTCACCAAGTTCATGCTCTTCGTGGCCATGATTCCCAACATGCTCGCCTATCTGCTCTACATCGTCGGCTACCTGGTCATGGGCAAGACCTCTCTGATGTGCGTACTCGGCCTTCGTCCCATGCACTGTACTGACCAAGCATAGGCGTACGACCATCTCTGGTGGCATTGCTATTCAGGCCGGCTTCCTCGTCTCCTTCAAGCAGCTCGTCCCCGAACACACCGTTGCCATCGCAAAGGGCCTCATCCGCATGCGCGTCAAGCACTTCCCTGCCATCTTCCTCCTCACCAACACAATTTCCGGCATAATACTGGGTACCGAGACGGCCATGTTCCTGGCATACTTCGGCTTCTTCACTGCCTGGATCTACCTCCGCTTCTACCGCATAAGCCCATCACTGTCGTCTACCGCAACTGGCGACGGCTCTGTCATCCGCGGCGACGCCTCAGATACCTTCTCGTTTGCCCACTTCTTCCCGGAGCCCATACAAACACCCGTTGGTGCCCTCTCCGACGGCATCTACAACACACTCGTATCGCTCAAAGTGTGCATACCCTTCTCGGATCAGGATATCGATGCGGGCAACGAACAGGCGAGCGCCCGGGCTGAAGGGGGTTTACCCAGCATCATGAACCCCAACAGCAGGGGCGGTCGAGGAGGAGCCACACGTGCCGAGGCGGAAAGGAGACGTGCTCTCGCTCTAGAGGCTCTGAACCAGCGCCTGAACGCAGCAGCGTCTCGGGGTCCAAGTGCCGCTGCTCCGTCAGCGCCTTCTGTCTCTGGACCTACCGAGTCACTGGGCGAGACAAACTACGAGCCAGACCGACCGGAAGCACCCGAGAGATCAGCGGCATAGTACTCTCGCTCTCAGGGATATCTTAGATCGCTTTGATTACCCGTTGTCGTTCATATACCCGTGGCAGCAGGTGCCTCTCCTACTCCACCGAGTACCTACAAGTTCTCGGTGTTTTGGGCATGGGACATTGCGGCGGCGTCTTGTTAGCGTTACAGCGCTTTGTTTGGTTGCGTTATTGGAGCGCATATGATACCACCACTCGGGAGGGACTTGTCAGTATTCTTGTACCCAATTATTGCCTACTATCAGAATAGAGTAAGTCGACTGTTCACAAGTCCATCGTTTCATCCGCCGGCTGTTGCACCTTGCGAAAGACGTTGCCGCGACGCAGCGGGCCAGTGCCAGAAACGGTACTTCATCAATAATGCGCACTCAAGTGCTCAACTGGACTCGACTTGATTAAGCACTGCCGTTGCGTTTCAGTCGACATGCATCTCTCATGCGCACATAATCGAGCGCCTCCCAGTCACCACCCGCACTTTTGAAGACTACGTTTCCGCAGAAGTCCTCGAAGGGATGCACGCAGCCTACGTGCAGACTGGTCGCGTACTGCAGGTGATCAGTGCAACCGGGCGTTTTGTTACACAACTCTACCCGCCGAGTCTCACGGAGCCGGTAGAGAGCAAGTGTCGTGACAGTTGATACACAGAAAAAGAAATTGCCGTCTCATATTGCTTTGGGAAGAAAGATGCTCTCACCTCCACGAGACGTACAACTCACGAGAAGTACAAGTAGACCGGAAATCTCTATAATTTCTGTAGACAACGCGCGTCCTATTCACATTTCAGACCTATCAAATCTCTCTACTTTGACAGTAGCAAATCCCTCATCATGTATACATCCATCCTCACCACCCTTCTCATAACCGGCACCACCCTCGCCGCAAGTCTGCCCCCGAGCCCAGGTCATCCTCTCATCCCCTCAGAATACGTACCAGAATCTGTACATCCAGCTGCAAAGCGACAGGGCCTCCCCCTCGGTGATGTTCTAGGTGGAGGCGATGTTCTGGGCGGAGGCGGTCCTCTGGGCGGCCTAGGAGACTTATTAGGCGCTGGAGGCGACGCTGAGAGCTCTTCCGCTGCGCCCGCCCCGGCTCCGACTCCTGTTCCCAGAGCATCAGATATCGTCATGACGACTACGATGATCACCGTAACAGCGACCTTGTCTACGCCGTTGCCAGAAGCGCCATCAGCTTCCGTGTCTCCTGTGCCTGAAGATCTGGCCGGCGTCTACGTCTGCGACGACATCAACTGGAACGGCGCATGTTCGCACCACTTCACCAAGCCAGGAGGTTCAGACATTGACTGCGCACAATTGTCTGGTAGGGAATCATCGATTGGACCGGATCCAGGCTTCCTATGCGAGTTCTTCACGTATGTTCCGATACCTCATCTCTTCGCGAATTTAGCTAATATGTTTGTTCATAGCAACAACTCTTGCCACAAGACTCCTGGCGTTGAATCCGATTTCCTCAGCTTGAGCTGGCCCGGTAATGCGGATCTGAGGAGTACGGACAAGGGTGATTTGAATGACAAGTTCTTGAGCTATGTTTGCTTCAAGGTGTTGTAGGAAAGGTGGATTTGGGAGATGGGGATTGAGAGTTTTGGAGATTTAGGAGGGGCTTGAAAAGGGATTGAGTGAGAGACAGGTGCTTTCGTTCAGGTTAAATTGATGATTTTACGACTCAGATCTTGACTTTTGGCATGCTGAACCCTTTCGTGCGTATGCTGGTGGATGCTTAGTGCCCCGTGGTTCCTGCGCTTCGAAGCAGCATATACAGTCGTTACTGACGATCGATGGCCATATGCCGCTTCTCGTGCATACGTGTGTCTCTGTAGCACATGCCAGGCACGCTACAAGCTCGCTCCTCACATGGCCTGTGGTGTTCTTTGTTTGTTTATCTACCTGCTCCCATGCTTCCTCCATTCTTCATCCATCACATCTCTTCCACACCACTCTTCTGGGATATGACCCATTCTTCTTCATTCTCAACCATCCTCACTTCTATCATCATATTATTGCTTCCAACTCTCATTCATACCACCATCGTTATCTCAACAGTCTATCGACTCGTCACCACATCTTCATCACGTCGTCATCACTCCATCGCTACGGACGAGAACACGCACAGCACAGCCTCAGCGTATTCAGCAAACTCCAGAAGTACAGCAATGCCCAAGAAAAGTACAGCAAGTACAAAGCGAGCTCTGCCTCGAATTGCTTAGCTAGGCACAAGATTGAGGCTGGGGCAGCGACCTCTTCTGTCTTCGTTGCGGCAAGTATAGTTACACCAAGGAAAACTATCAAGGCAAGCGTTGCTACGCCAAGGTCAAGTGCAACCACTGTGCCTCTTCCCAGTCGGACAAGCGCATTGGTCTCGTACCAGTCCTCCATTAGCAACATCGCTACGACAGTATGTATCTGATGCCAGAACTTCTCCATGACATACTAACCCGCGCGACAGCCTATAATGCTCAAGCCAACCGACACATGATCCTGCGATCACCCCACAATCCGAGGACAAACGAGCCGATTCGTGGTTTTCCCGAAACGTTAGTGGACTGTTCCTTGGTATCATTACAACATTCATACCGCCATATCTCGCACATTCTTATCCAGTCTATCCATATCGCCATCGTTCTCCCGCCAGCTCTTGTCCTGCCACGATCCAAATCTACTACAAGTACACTACGGTTTGACACAACTACGAGACCAATCTATGATCGGTGGCACTATCCTCGAGGGAGTCAGGTATCTACAATGCAACGTCGCTCTTGTCGGATATATTGTTACAACGGTATGCATCCGACCCTACAGCTTCTCTGTGCTATGCTAACGGTTTCTTAGTATTTTTACGACATCTCTACCTTGTTCATCCCTCCATTGGCAACACTGCCCTAGAGGAAGTCAGATACTCGAGGACCGACATGGCATCGATCATCACGACACCACTATCGAGGATGTCGGATTCTTCCAGTGCATTTTCGGCAACATCGTTACCACTGTATGCCTCATACTCTAGAGATTCGCTACGTCTTACTGACTGTTTCTTAGTATTATTACGGCATCTCTACCTCATTCATCCTCATTCTTCGAAACATGTATCCTCAAAAGCCATCGACATCTTTCTCGTCAACCGTTTCACCTCAGCCGTTACAGTGTCGATGTCAGCAGACCGAGATCGCTAGGAACGCGCTCGTGCAACGTGAACAGCTGGAGATGCAGAAGGCGCGCGAGCAGCAGATGGCGCAACAACAGGCAGCGCAACAACAGGCAGCGCAACAACAGGCAGCGCAACAACAGGCAGCGCAACAACAGGCAGCGCAACAGGCGCTATCGCTGCGCTGATACCCCTTGTCCCATCCGCGACACTCGAGGTACGTCTCGTTCGATAGCTAGGTATCTCATTATTCCTGACTAACTTCAATATTTCAGCGTCCTGCCGTCGTATTGCCATACTCTTGATATCCTTTCCCCAGGACGATCCTCGTTCTCGTCATCAACTATTCCTTCCTATCATCATCGTCATCATTCAACGACATTCCTACGACATTCTTACGACATATCAATAACACCATTACTACGCCCTCGCCCTCGCAAATGCTCACATTGTTGGTCTTCCTTGCTGAGCCACCCGATATCATGCTGACAAGAGTTCAAGATTACCCGTCAGAACTCCAACAGCAACGGAGAAGACGCGCTCGAATATCTGTTCCGCGCACTTGACCCCAATCATTTTCCAAACTCTTGGACTCTTGAACAAGGGCGAGCGCGGCTCATTGCTATTATCTAGGATGTCGAGGCTATATTCCTATCGTCTTTCATCCATCGATACCCTAACTTCAAGTGGTACTTCAACGACCTGAACACAGTCATTATTACCTCGGGCCGCACAAATTCGCATCTTTACCTTCATTCTCAACATCTCTATTCTTTATCGGCATTCAGCGACTGTTATCGATATCTCGGTCACCTGTCCCGTGTCCTTGAAATCTACAACATACCGAAATCCAAGAGCTCAAAGACCGAGTCGATGCCCGTGCACCGTCTTGTCTGATGCGTACATACCGTTAGTGGCAGGGGCGACTGCGCGAGGAGTAAACGATCCGTGGGGTCCATAGGCTGGATGTCGATCGTCGCGATTCGAGGTCGATGGCATCTTGGGTGGAAACCTCACCTTGGGACCGTTGGGAGCAGAATTCGTTGGTGTTGCTCTTATCTTGAGAATGCTATGCTCTCTTGTCAATCTTGCTTCCCAAGTCACAGTGATGCTGATGCTCCGTCTGACGCCGAAGCGCAAAGAAGGCATACTCTAGTGTGCGATCGAGATTCCGAGCCTCATTCTCATATCCCACAATGCAATTTCTTACATCATGTGCTAGAAGACGTTGTCCATCGTCAATTAGCTACAATGTATATCTTCGGACTAAAGGACGAGAGCAGCCTTCGTTCGTGGAATTTATGTATTCCGCACCATTCCCATTTCAGTTTAGTGCATCATTTACCAGGTCCGCGATCGTCATCGCAACGGTCATCTTGCCACATACCTACGGCTGCACCCCCGCATCTTCTCAAATTTACGACTACCATACTGTTCTAGTGTCATGCGCAATATCGCAAAGTAAATGCTTGGCCAATTATAGCTACGCAACATGCAGTAGCATCGTGGCTGTAGAAAGATCGCGGAGTTCTCCAAAGGCTACCCGGTTTTCTTGTCCTGTGCAATTTATTCGGAGGCCACGATTCAGGTCACTCCGGAACTTGTTTACTATTCTACGAGATTAGTAACGGTCCTCCGTGTTAGTCTCGATACTAAGTACAATGTTGCACAGTATAAATTCGTGCGTAGTCTCAGTGCCATGACGAGCTGCGCATCTTTCAAATCATCGAATTTCATCATGAAGCTTTCCATATCCCCTCTCGTACTACTAGCAGCCATCGACAATGTCACGGCCGTTCGATTTCTCGGACGTGTGAATCCAGACACGCAAGAGTTGACATGGCCCGGAACCGGCGTATCCTTTACCTTTACAGGTTCCTCCGCTAGCATCGGCATCGAAGGCACAAGCGGCACCAACAGTGCTCAATTGACCATCGATGGCGTAGCTACTGTCATTCCTGATGTTAATGGCACCTCCATCAAAACGCCCGCTGACCTTGGTAACGGCAAACACACGGTCGAACTGCGGAAACGATCAGAAGCTTCATATGGCACCATAACCATTGGCAACGTAACAACGGACGGCACCTTAGGTCCAGACATCTACGCCTCGCGCAAGATCCAAGTCATTGGGGATTCCATCACCGTCGGCTACGGCCTCGACGGCGTCAACCCATGCGTGAACAGCGCCGCTGTGGAGAACAATCCCAAGACCTACGCCGCCCTGGCTGCCGACGCATTAGATGCCGACTACGACATCATAGCCTGGAGCGGCATCGGTCTGACAAGAAACTACGTCTCTCCCACCCCCGATCCAAGCGACATCATGCCTCAGCGCTGGACCAGATATGGCGCTCTCGATCCGCTCAACAGCTATACATTCCCCGCAAACGCCACACCAGATGCTGTAGTCATCAATCTTGGTACCAACGACTTTGGCTATCAAGCCGGCGTACGCGACCCAATCGTCCCGGCAGAATACACCGCTGCCATGGTCGACTTTGTCAAGACAATCAAGACACACTACCCAGATGCTGCTTTCTTCCTTCTGACGTCGCCTATGCTTGGCGACGGATATCCTGCAGGCCAGGCGCAGAAGACTACGCAGACGAATGCATTGAATGCTGCGATTGCGCAACTTAAGAACAGCACGAAGATCAGTCTGGTGGATATGCCGTCGCAGGGCTCAGACGTTGCTTGTGATTATCATCCCAATGCTGCGACCCATGCGGAGATGGCGGAGATTCTGACCAAGGCTCTCGCTGGTGAGCTGGGTTGGTGAGGAAGTAGAGTCGTTGTAAAGAGGATGTGATGATGATGTATATACTTTGACACGATGTATCTAATATTGTTGTTGATACCGGAAAATGTCGGTACGTCATGAACGAGCTGTGAAGGTAGACTATCAAGCTTACCGCGTAGACATATACTTTGTTCGACGCGGTCTACGTAGGTAGAATCATTCGCGTCGCTCGCAAAAAGCATCTATGCAAGATATGACGTTCAGAATTTCACTCCCAAAGCCCGCGGTACAAAGTGTACCATCACCACACGTCCCGAGGAAGCGGTTTTGTTCCAACCCATCACATCTGAACAACACTGACCTTTTGTCCAGCCCTTCTGCCACAACTCTCATAACAGCTAATGCAAACTATCAAGAAGGGAAACTTTTGGACATTCACATCATATACCCCGAGAGTGACTCTTCCATGCCTGCAGCCCGCATCCCAGTGACAAGGCCTCAGGCACAAGCATCTCCCTTGCCCATGCTACATCTGTACAAATCCTTACTTCCACGATACCACCTTTCTCCACATGACCCTCTACACCGAAACATCTTCATACATGTACAACCCACCTCCACCGGTCCACCCCCACCTCACGCCACCCCAAAAGACCGTCTCACCTT